TAATTAAAAGTTTAACGCAGTTAACTTCTTTTATAAAAATCCTGAATTTGAATTACATGCATCAAAAACGTAACTTTTGCATATAGTATATGATCAGAAATTACGTCAGTTCTACATGTAGGATTGTAGAATTACTAAAATTATTAATGATCAATTCTCAATTCTACTGCATTGTAGAATTAATTCTCCTGCACCACTAATTATAGCCAGAGTAATGATAACAATAAACTGGGCTTTGCAGCGTGTATCGTTTTCATTGATTTGTTATTTGCAATGTGTCACGTAGATTAAAAATGATTTATCTTACGATTTATTCCTTCCAAAACAAAAAAACAATGTTGAAATCGAAATTATGAATCCAATATATTGTGCAAGAAAGATAGCAATCATAATCGTATATACAACATTCAATTGTATTTGGTGTCAATACGAATTCATGATGCTACACAGAAATTCATTATAAATATACCTTCACTATTTAGTTCGAAAATCAAACTTCTCGTAACGAAATGCAACTTTCATCTCTACTAACACTGTTGACACCACTGAAAAACCTGATGGTGACGCCATTAATCAATGCTCCATCATGCATACCAAGATTACTAGAGTGTCCAGACTCGTGCAATTTAAATGCATTTTTATTCGATGTAAGAAATTTTGACTATGCGATATCAGTGTAAATAAAAATTATTTATTTTCATTAAATTTCGATTTGATATAGTCGTATATATCGACAAATAATCGGCGAAAGAAATTACTATGCCATACCGCAATTGTAATCAAAATTTTACATACAGTATTATGCGTATTAGTTTGTTTATCGTGCAAACTCTTATGATCATAGATTTTTTTCTTGTTATTTTTTGTACGTTATTATATAAGCACAACAATCTCGAATTAAAACTCAGTTAGCCAATAATGACTTGTAAAGCATGATCATAATTACACGATGACATCGATATTGGATCATGCGATGATAAATAAATATCATAAAGTTTGTTCTGTCGAAACAATGATTGGTTGGAATGTGCCGCTGCGCGGCACATGTCAACCAACCATTTATTATATTTATCATGATCCAATATCGATGCCCATCGTGCAATTATGATCATGATTTACAAGTCATTATTGGCTAACTGAGTTTTAACTTTATGATATTTATCATCGCATGACCGAATATCTTATAACAATATCGCACTAGTTACATCAAAATAGATAAATTTATAATGCTAAAGTGTAATTGCACGTCTGGGTAATCTAATTACTACTCTGGGTACACCCGACGGTGACGCAGTAAACCAGATGCCTTGAATAAATTCAAAATTAAATGTATAATCGTTATTCATAATGTAGTCATAAAATAATGCAAATGCTTTTGTAGAAGTTTATATCAAATTTTTAGTGTTCCATCATATAAACCTCTATTGAAGACAAAAATAGAGACATGGTTTTGTAACGGCGGTTCGTATATCACAGTTTACATAAATAAATCTTTTATCTCTTCAGCTATCATGTCACGAAATTTTATATTGTTCCCTTGATTTTTCTATTATTCTCTTATTTTGCCCCTTGCCATATATATAAATTTGCATAATTTCTTTTTCCAAACTGAGACTCGGGATTTTTTATTCACCCCTTCTTCCAAGCTAGGATTTATTATATTTATATATATATTTGGCTTTGATAGTCAACCTTGTAAAACAAAGAATCATTTATTGAGTTTTATCAATTCATTTAATAGCATGAGAATTGTAATCGATATGTATCTTAAATTTTCGAAATAACGCAATTTCGAAATTTGCCATACCACAAAATAACGTCCATGATCACTATTTTGAGAAGTTACGATAAAGATTTTTTAATAGAAATTCATGAAAAATTCATACTAATGGTGTGACTTTATCGATTGATGATTTAGTAGGCACAAAAAAATTTTGGTTCTATGTCAAAATCCCGAAAATCAAAATCCTGGAAATTAATTGTCGCGTCGCGTGATGTCGGGGTTCCAGAATTCAAACCCAGTTTATGATTAGTAATAACGATAATGATTACTAATCATAAGCGGGTTTGAATACTGGAACCCCGACATCACGCGACGCGACAATTAATTTCCAGGATTTTGATTTTGGGATTTTGAATAATTTTGAGTTACAAGTGAGATTTGTCTCTCACCTATGGCACATCTTATTGCTATCATATGAACATACGTATTAGAGTTTGGAACCGGTTTTATTTTTCATATGTTAAAAAAATAAAACTGGTTCCAAACCCTAGAACACATAAATATTTCACTTTTGCTGGGCAGCCTTTTGAGCATCGATTGGCTGCTAGTATTAGTCGGTTTGTTTGATTAATACTACTAGAAAAACAGCGACGTTTTGTGGTTAATTCTTAGGTCTAACACTTTAGAATTAAATTTGAAATTGTATTAAATTTTATAAATTGCTATAAAATTATTTATAATAAATTTATAAAGATAGTAATCTTTTTCCTCTATTAATCTTTGTTGTAAACGCCATTTTCTGCAATCTGTCAAAGGTCAGCATAAGAACTCTTGATACACCTATAAATGTAAGGCCAGTTGCAAATTCCTTACTTCCAAGATTATTATGGCTTACAGTAATGTTAAGTCTTGTGACTTATGAGCTTTAATTGCCCAAGCGAAACTACATGCGAAAGCAAGTTCCTGATTTTCTTTCCCAAGTATATTTAATGGGTCGAATTGGTACTACTTGATGATGGCTCGATATAGATAAAGTTGGACCGTATATATCCATTTAACCAATTATGATCTAATATAATTGAAAGAAAGGATTCTTTACGAGTAAGGCAATAATTATGTTGAGATCTGGACAACATCTCAAAACTTTTTGAGAAGATTACGATCATCATCAGTAAGTTGACATGCGAGTGATATTTCGCTTTCTAAAACAATTTATTGCATCGTAGACATAATTATTTCAATTAAAATTTCATTTAAAAATCGTACTTTTATTTAAGTTGTCTTCGTTATCTGTTTGTTCGTCTTGATTTATATTCTTTTTCGTTTCTTATTAGTTGCTGATTCGCTTTACGATAAGCTACTTCAGTCTTTGAATTTTTTTGCTTCCTTCTCGATTCATTTCTTATAGCTACATGTTCAGGCGTGTAAGTTCTTTTTCGTTTTTGCATTTTAACCAAATAAAAAAGAACGTAACAAAGTTTTCTTTTATTATTTCAAATACTTGCTTACGATATGACGTATTATAATTTTCTAACTGATAAATTAATTGATTTTTTATTCTTTACAATACAATACGATGACATATTTAATTCTTACTTTCTAATTGACAAATTATTCTTTTATTAAAAGCCAGTTTATATAATCTATTAAAAGTTAGCTATTATATTTAAACCAAAAATCAGGTGTCCAGTTGTTGATCCTAATTTAAGTTCAATTCTGGTTATTTGAACCTAAAATTTGGGTCAGGATGAAGCGGGAATCGGACATTTCCGAAAATTCAGTAGAGTAGTTGAAAGGCTTTCACCTCGTTTCACTCAGCTCCAGCCAGCTAAAGAGATTCCAGGTTTATTGGAAGTGACTTATTTGTGAGTGGAAAATGATATTATAAATTTATTTTTGTAAGCGAATTTGCATTGTCTACATTACTATAAATAACAAATTTCTCTATAAAATAGATACCAACAAACAGAATATATCTCATCGCAAGCAAGGTATCGCTACCAATCACAATTTCCGAAAAATATTCTTTAGAGATTATTTGAAAGGCTTTTGTTGAAACAAGTAAATCGAAGTAGTTCATCACAGAATATGAAGTTATATCACTATTAAATATATCTATTTTTTTATATTAACTCATTTAAATTGAAACTATCAGGATGTGGAAAAATTTCCGGAAATGAAATTGCTAATCAGAATAAGGTACAATCATATCGAAAAAATTTCAGCTATTATTCTTCACAGTGATCAAAGTCATGTTTTTACAACATTTTATTTATATTTAGATTTGGGATTGCATCCCCGGCACGTGCCTTATTCCCAGCAAAAATTTTATGGCATAGGGCAAGAGCGGTTATGGGCACAAAATGCCCATAGTATCTTGGATTCATTTTTCTAGAGCAGCCTTTTAGTTTTTCTAACGAAGTCAGGTAGCTTTTATAAATAGATCTGTTTGACTATTTTATCATTTAGATTTATAAATGTGACCTTTTTAGATTATAATTGAAATAATTGAATTCATTGAATAGAAGACTTCAGAAAAAAGGATTTTGAGAAAAGGATCTTGTTTCAGAAATACTTGGCGATGATTAAGACATCTAGCGACCAACAATTCCTAAGGACAAAGATATTATTAAAGCAGATTGTTTTGCAACGTCACAAAAAGAAAAAACGGACAGAATAAAATAAATAAGGTAAGGTGAACAACATACTTTTAAGATATGAATTATAATATATCAGTATTTTATTGGCATCAATGATGGATTACTGGCGTTTATTTACGCAGACAAAAGAGCAAAAAAAGTCTACATCTAAATTAATCAGCATAATTCTTTTCTAATTGTCATACCGAAAAGAAGTAAAACAACCGAGGTCCCCGGTTGAACTCGTAGCTGAGGGTACATTTGACGAATTTTAGCACGAAAAATACGAATTTTTTGAAATCCTTGGGGAGACCATTAATAAATTGGTTCCCTCATAACCCAAAATTTTGACAATATTTACTTTCCAGGTGGATTTTTTAGATGTCTAAAAAAAATTTACATGCTTTTATATAATAAAATTAACTAGATCATTTTTACGAGACCAAAAAAATTATGTAATAATTCACGTGATTATTAGTTGGCAGTAATCTACACAAAAAATTTCCTTTTGAGCTTGTATCACTTAAACAACGATATAGCGTACGTACGCGTTTTAAGGAGGACTCACTCGAGTCCTTACGTGAAAAATCTAAGACGATACTTCCTCTGTTTTCTTTTAACAATACTCAAAATCAAATATGATAGTTGACTTATCTCCAGATGAAATGTTGAGTGATACTGATGATAACTTTCTCAATACTGACAATGATAACTTTCCTAACGTCTCTGATAAATCTGATAAAGGAGGATGTTCTGAGCATGATACTAGTATGGAAAAAAAATGACACGTCGTTTTTTTGTAATAAGCCAATAATAAATCGATTAATTTTAATAATTTAATATTCTTTAGTCGTGTCAGACGCATTATCAGACGGTTTATCTGATAACAACGATCATGATATTGGGAGTGAAAAACAAAAAGATGTTGGTAAGTATAATAATTATACCTATAAAACTATTTATCCAACTATTTTAACCAATATAGTATTTAATACTTTTATCGCCATACTTTGTAGATTTGTCATCTGGGGATATGCTTGAAGATGGAGGTTCTATGCATGATAAAATTGAAATTGACAATAATCAATTTAGTTACGAAAGAAGAAGGAAAGATAAGCGAATTGATGGCCAGTATTATAATAATAATAATAATAATAATAATAATAATGGTAATGATAATAATTTTAATGATAATATTAATGTTAGTAATATTATTGAAAAAATTCTTTATGAATTATATGATTCTAATTTATTTATTTATTATTTGTTGAATTCAGAGATTACTAAACCTCAAGGATCTTTTCAACCCGGTGCAACTCCTGAGAAGAATAATAGAAGATATTTAGGTTCGTAAAGATGAATTTATATTGACAATACATTCTGAATATATATACATATATATAAACATGTCGACTATTTCAATTATGTAGCTATGAATCATATCGGGTGTATAACTACTACGTTTCACGAGACTACTACTGCGTTTCAAGAGGCTACTACTGCGTTTCAAGAGGCTACTACTACTACTACGTTTCACGAGACTTATTCGACAATAACTGTAGAATTTCATGATCAATCTTATAATCGTGGTTATAACCTTCGAGATGAATTTAATTACTCTATGGCTTGTCTGGGTATGATTTTAAAATTATAATTGATTGAAATCTTTTCATAAAATTGCTAATAATATTTTGTACATGATAGATAAAAACGGGGCACTTTTTGCTGTAGAATCCTCTGAAATGCCCGATTCTCAAACTAATCCAAGTGTATTGTTTTACAAGCCACAAGAAACATGGGCATCAAAAAGCGAATGGACGTTGACACTTCCACAAGGAGAGGACATCATAGGTAAATAAAAGTATTACACGTTTCCGTATTGTAATATACACGTGCACAATAATTCTTAACTCATCATCACTTATTATGGGTGTGATAGCCATTGCTTTAAGTTCCCAGAGTATAATTGTCGCGACATCGAAAGATGTAATAAGGTTTTTCTCTCTTTGTGGTGTCCAAACCTACATTTTTGCTTTGAAATCTGTGGTTTGTATGGTGGGGTACGAGGAGTTCGTGCTTATTGTATATCATGCTGGTGTCGGTTATAAAGGTATTTATTAATAATCTTATACAAGATTAATTTAATTGTTTGATAGATTTTTTAATATTTTCTAATATTAATTTTAGGGTCGCAAAACCTCGGATATATATTATATAATGTCCGATCCCATGATATTTTACAGAAAGATGAACTACCATTAACTAAAGGATCAACTTTGCAATGGATGGGATTTTCCTTGGAAGGGGTAATAAATTTAACCTTTTTTTTTTAGAACACGTTGACTGATATTATAAAACAATTTAATGTGTTAATTTAAAACCAAAATTAGATGCCCGCAATATTTGATTCGAAAGGTGTTCTTAGTGTTCTTCACCATCATCGTCAATTTAACCAAGCAAGATGGGTACCGATTTTGGACGTTTCGATTAATCGTAAAGCAGAGGAAATAAATTGGACTTATTGGCCTGTTTGGCTTACTGAAACAACCTTATTTTGCTTTATTTGCAAGGTGACGATTGAACAAATTTTAAATTCTATATCACATACATGTATTCATTATTAGTTAATATAATATATATATTTTTTTAAGAGTGAAGCTTTTCCTCAAATTCCTCGATCAGCTTTCGATGAGATTAGCTGGAAAATTCCACTTTGGAATTTAGACAGGCAAACAGGCCAGTATGAAGAAAAGTATGTGGTTTAAATTTTAATATCTTATTGAACTCGCATTCATGTTTAAGTTATATAAATTATTGATTAAATTCAACATTTGTAGAATTGTGCGATTTTCTATTCTTGCGAGTTATGAATTTGAAGAAGCCATGGCAAAAAATGAGTTAGACAAGGCGAAACAAAGCATTAAAAAGAAAAATAAAGAGATGGATAAAGCTTTATTGGAAATGATACATGTTTGTATTATTTTTATATCTGTTTTATGAATTTTTTTTTATATTAAAAACTAAAAGTTCTCAATTGATTTAAATGTAGTTTGCTTGTAAAGAGGAGAAACAACAGCGGGCGTTAGACTTATCGAAGCTATTGATTACAAATAAATCCTTGGAGTCAGCAGTAAAGATTGCTAGATTTAATAATTGCCCTATATTGGCTGATAAAATCTGTCAATTTAAAGAGGTATTTATATGCTCTTTTTTTTATTTTATTTTTATTTTTATTTTTTATTATTTTTGATACAATGCATATAATTACCATTTTTTACAGGCAAAAGTAAATGAATTACGATATTCAAAGACGGGAAGTAGTAGTACAACCGTTCCTGAATGATCTCTGTCAATTGTAAATTTTTATATATAGCGTAATAAGTTTGATTCGTTAATAAATAGTGTGATTGCGTAATGTTGCAGTTTTCATTCTTTAAAAATTGGGAATATAAAAAATTTGCTAGTGAAATTATGGGAAAAAATGTATTGATTGAAATTAAAACCTATAGTTGTAGTAATTAATTCGCGTTTTGACAATACTATAACCAGAGTTCATTTTAGTGCATCCTATTTTTTAACCTTGTTAAAATCACATTTAGGATGTTAAGATCAATTCAGGTTTGGTTTTAGTCCTAAGGCAGTGACCTGAAAAAATTTTGAAATACTAGATCACAGTCGCTGGAGATCATATTATAAAACAGTTCAATAACACGCGTGGCAATTAATCAATTAAATCACAATGTAACATTCTTGAAATCTATTATTTGGATCTAATTAACATTGGAGATAGAAAATCTGTTTTTTTTTTATTATTACTAAAGTGTATGCTAGTATGATTTTATTAGCATAATGAATATTCATCGGAAAAATTTTTTAGTGCTGTTCTGCGCAGGTTTGCAAAAAAATTAAACAACAAATTAAATGAAAATCTGTGCAAAACTTCAGACTCACCAGCTATAGCTACAGAAGTTAAACACAGTTCTATGCAAAATTTCAAAATATAAAAAATTTTGCAAAAATCGCAGATTTTTGCAGATTTGCACTTATTTAATTTTCCCGATGAATATTCTTGTCGGATTATAGCCGACTCAGGTATTGATTTTCGGTAACTTGTCAATCGGTCATCTAAGGTACGTAGGCTATGTCTTCACAATAAAATAGAACGTTATTATGTCGAAATATGAACAAGAATATTAAAAGCACTTTGATATCATGTAGAATTTTAATTATAATAAAGTTTAAACCCTATTGTACTGCTCTCTAATAATATTACCAAAATTATGCAATTTATTAATAGTATTATCCTTTTCATTGAGCCTTAATTCTAGGTCCTAGACCTTCACCTTAAGTTCTAAATTGTTTAATTAGAATCATCTGTTATTTTAGATATATAATAGGCTTCTACCACAAAATCCTGAAAACCATTTGCCCGAAGAAACATAATACCGACCAAATTGGCCAACATTATAACTAATGCTGGCCAATTTTGTCGGTATTAGGTCCTTTCGGGCCTTCGGGATATTGTGGTTAATCATTAATGATAATATTTGACGTAATATCTTGATTTTCCTCCTCCTGCTTTCTTGGCTGAAGCCTAATCTAAATATCAATTTTGAGAAGTCAAAAAAAAAATCCCCCTGTTTATTTGATCCTACACTACTATTCTATACATAGATTTAACCTTATTTTTATTTTATTTGTAAATATAAATGAAACAAAATAAAAAATGCAAATGTGAAAGGAACAAATGAGGTTAGAGATCATGTAAATACGCTCTCAATTGTCAGCTAAGCTGGATTTTTTACTTTATCAAACATGAAACTATGGCTGATTCTTTGCATATCAAGAAATTTTATGTAAAAAAAATTAATTTTGTATGGCCTAATATTATGGAAATTTTTAAAACTACCTATTTGTAATTTCACATAGTTAATAAAATAAAATCTATTTAAAGATTTCGATACTTAAAAGCCTAATTTACTTGGTTAGCATAACAAAATGAATTATAAATTAGTATATGAGTGCCGCCAAGGGAAAACCTGTCATCGGGCTTTCAATTATATTTTGTACCGGACATATTCCCTAAGAATTAAATAGATTTTGACCGGTACAAAATATGATGACAGGTTTTCCCTTGGCAGCACATATTCAATTAACTTGATGTAAATGAGATACTGTATAGATTATTTTTATGTGGTTCTATAAAATAATTTAATGTGATCGTTTGACATGGGTTAATAAATCTTATATTCACTAGAGTGGATCGAAATATGCAATACGCATATATACCAAATTGTGAAGACTTAAATTTTATATAGGCTCAATATGGCATGTATAAATTCTCAGAAGTCTTTTTTCAAAATACTGTATTATTGAACCTCTCAAACCCGATATACAGTATTGAGAGGTTATCAGGTTGGTAAACTATTAGATTTATATATCGTAAACGGACTTAGTATATTAATTTTTTATCAGATTTGACAAGTTATCGACTTTGACAGGATCGGTTGAGGTTCAGCAGTGTTCAGTTCGCTTTAAGAAAATTTAGATTCGAATGTATCACCTAATTTAGTAAATCTTCAAATTTGCTTTATCGTTATTGTGGTCAAAAGAAACCTGTTTCGCATAGCATCACCTTTTTTTAGCATATAAGAAACTCGTATTTTTACGGAAAGTTAATTGAGTCATGTGCCTAAAAATAAACACAGGTATAAACCAACATAGCGGGCTTTCATAGTGATTGGTCAAATTTTGTAGATCATCCCGTGATATTATAAAGATTTTATTGGTTAATCGAAAATTAGTAAAAATATCAAATTATGAATAATACGTATGTAAAAAATAATTATATTCATGATTTAGTTAATACTAGCAGAAGTCTTTACCATAAAATCACATTAATTTAAATCTAGAATTAAAATCCCAATACAAACAAAACTAGTCAAAATCGGATAGAACTCTAATACCAAAATTTTATTAAAAAACCCTAATGTACTATAAATCAAAGAAAAAAACAACAAAAATAAAAAATACAAAAAGTAAACAGTTGATCCTATCCTATAATATTGATAACTAATAAAAAAAATAAACAAAAATAACTTTTAATACAGTACTCGCTCTAATATTAAACCAATTAATTCTATTAATACACTAAAAGGTTGCAGAGTTACAGTACTACTACAGTACTTTTTTTAACTCTTCTCATGAAATCTATTAGTCTTATAACTCTCAACTTTATATTATTAGCCTATATAATATGTAGTCAGGTTTTTTTATTAGTTGAGATTACAAAATATAAGCTTTTACAAATAAAAGACGGCTTAAATAGTTGAGTTTGATTAAATTATTATACCTATAGGCTAAACTTAAATATTCAAACATACCTCTCATCTAACTTCCGAATTACTTCGTAGATTACCAAATTACTTTGATAGTTTATAGATCTGAAGGTATTCTTTCAATTTTTTTTGGTATCAAGCTTCACCAATTCGTATCCATAGCCACCAAACCATTTTTATAACTGCAAAACATTACGCCAATATGTAAAACATATTGTGTAACATATTGTGTTGATCATCAAATCAAGTAATGCCTGCTATGTTTGAAAAATATGAACTTAGATACTGATCATGTTATTTAATGTTACACCAAATCCTGAATTCTTATTGGCCAATCATGGGCAAATCGATATAAATCGATATTTTTGACCAAATCGATATAAATTTTTGCCCAAATCAAATCGATATTTTTCCGGGTCCCTGATGGCGATACTGGGGTAGTTCATTAGGCATGCCCTAGTCATGTGATATATGTATCATATCTGATTGGCCAGCATGTCATAGTTAAGATTATTTTAATTAGTATAAACATAACAACAAAATTTTAATTTAAGAAGTTCTATAAAAAATTTTTTTACAGTAATTATAATAGAAGTCATAAAAATTCTAATGCAAACTTAATCACATATTGTAGTCACCAAAATGCAAGTAAGTTATGATAGAGTCCTATAACAGAATTTTTTAGTAATAACAATAAAAATCAATATGCAGTAGTTACTGGAATACGTAACAAGAATTTTTTACAATAACTTATGATAGAAAATCATAATAATTTTAATGCAGACTGACCAAACTTTAATCAACTACTTACTATATATCACTGGAAAAAATTTTTATACTAATTCACTGTAATTCTAGCAACAGAAGTTTTTTATAAACATTTATAAAGCACTAGTTTTTTTACTGTATATAAAAAGGGCATGCCTATAGGCATGAGGGGCATGCCGCAACTCAGGGCATGCCCCAAAGGCATGCCTGATTTTTTACCCGTGCCTCAACCCTACTTGCAGCTATTATCTTGTAAAATTTAGAGGTCGTTCAAGATGTATACTATTTATATTTTTCTAATACATTTTACTTACATATTTGTACTTTGTAGAAACTGAATTTTTTATACATTACTGAAACTTTTCATCCGGAGGTATTTTCAAATTTTCTTCCTTCATTTAGATAAGTTACCATATGGTGGTGCTCATTTAACAGACTGTCAATCAATTCACCAACAATCAATTCACCGACCGACAATCAATTCACCGACAATCAATTAACTGACAATCAACTCACTGACAATCAATTATCAACCGGTAAGTTTATTTACCAACGATTAATTCACCGACAAGTTTATTTCATCGACATTTTATTTCACCGAAGCTCATTTCACAAACAAAGTAATTCTAGCCATTGTCATTAGGGTCAGGCTTAGAATTAAAGTTAAGACTAATAATTGTCGGTAAATGATTGTCAGTCAACGAAGTGACGAAGTGACAAAGCAATCATTATTGTGAGATCAGGGGATTTTATTGCAGATCACTTGTCATAATGACATTATGTAACTTGTTAAATACAAGTTTGTGGGGTAGTTATGATTGCCTTAAATGTATTAGTATTCCTTAAAATGTCAATAAACCGGTTGTGAACAATAGTAAGTTGTAATTACTGAATTAGGAAACAGAGAGCATGGTTATGTGAATATCAAGTGGAAGGGTAGTTGTGCTTAGCTGAGCTAAAGGCATTTAAGATCTGTATGTCATACTTAATTGTGAAGTTCCTCACTTCTCGTAAGTGTTGATCTTGTTGCAAAAAAATTTAGCTGTATTTTCAAGGTTTTCGCTTTTCTTTCTTGTTTTGCTTCGCTGACGATGTCAAAATTCTATAATTTATATGGGGTGATTTCAATAGAAACAGCCCATTTTTACAATTTTTCGAAAATGAGGTTTCATTAGGTTCATATAAATTTTGACATGATTGACATTTTTCAAAATAACTCATATGCTCGTATATTACA